TTGTGACATGGTGCCTGACTGCTTGAGACCTGCCCACACTAGAAAACCATCATTTCTTTGACCTCATATAATTTAATTTATATTTTCCTAAATGTATTGTTCTTTTATGCAGATACTGGGGACTGGGCTCCAGACGCGGCTCCCGCACCCCCAGGTACGTCCCGCACTGTGAATTTCCACTGTCTCTGCGAAGCTAAAAAGGAATCTAACCTCCGTCCTGACCTAGACACTGGTGGACAATGACTAGACCGGCAATTTCCAATTCTGGTTGCACAATAGAATCACCCAGGGAGCTTTTGAAATCCCTGATGTCCAGGCTGCACCCCAGACCGGTCCCATCAGAGTCAACGGGGTCACTCCCAGGCATCAGTAATATTTAACACCCCTCCTTGTGATTCCAATGTGCAGCCAAAGTTGAGATCCATGGCTCAGACAAGCAGCTAAGAGCCACATTTCCCAAGTGGAATTCCATCCAAAACTCTCCTCTGTGGCAGTAGAGCAAGGGAGGGCAGGAGGAGAAAGAAGGAGGAAGGTTGGATCACCATGCCTGGGAAGAGGGTCAGTGTGGAGAGGAGAGAAGGTGGAAAGGTTTCCCTCTCAGGGATGTGGGTGAAATGAAATGAAAATGAAACCATGCAGGAAACCAAAGATAGATTAAATGCCAAACTCCCCCCGATTGCGTCAAGAGCAGACAACAGGTAAGAAGTGAACCACCTGGGGCTCTTCTCTGGGCCTCCTGGCTCAGCCAGGGCAGCAGAGTAGCCTATTTGAAGTCAATGTGCGCAGCGACCTCCTCCCAAACTGGATCCAGAGCAGGTGTGGTCCTGCCTCCTGCAGCCTCCTGCTTTTCAGAGATGGGTTCTTGGCTGCCCTCTTCCCTCCCCCGGCACCTTGGGCCCCACCCAGCCTCCTGTCTGATCCTGCCCAGTTACTGCTGCCACCTCTGCCCCCAGGGGGGTGGCTGGGCACCAGGCAGGTATCTGGGTCAGGGGTGCATCTTGTGGTGTTTTAGGGCCCAGCAAGGTGGCTGGCAACTGTTCATTCCCTGGGATGGCAGCACCACGCCTCATTTGGTGGGACACTCAGTGGCGGTCTCTCGCCCACTCCAGTCCAGGCCCCAAGTGCATCCTGGGATGGAGGTGTGCATCCCTTGTGGGTTGCCCATCTGCTATGGGTTGGGGCAGTGGACCTGCGGGAAGGGGAAATTGATTTCTCCATCCCTGGCTGAGGCCCCACATTTTTATTCTGCACTGGGGCCCTCAAATTACGTAGCTGCTCTGGGGAGAGG